CATGCCGGTTGCCGCAATAGCGATTCGCGTCGCGCGGACGGTCGCGCCGGGGCGCCGGCCGAGGAGGTGGCTCGGCGGTCGCAGTCGCCGCAGACGCCGCCCCTCCCGGCGCACCCAGCGCACCTGGGAATGCTGGCGGCGGAGGCTCGCTGGCCGCAGGACCAGTGAGAATCCTCTGCTGCCAGGCCCGGATAGCCCCCGGCCCGACCTGCATGGCCCTGGCCGATGGAAGCCCCTCCATGGCCGGGAACGAGGCCGGCTGCCCCCCTGTCGCAAGCGTCTCCAGCGCGTCGCCGCCGGCAGCCCGTCCGCCACCGATGTTCGCCGCTGCTGAAGGCTGGGGAAGGGCAGTCTCCATCGAGCTCACCGAGTCGTCGGTCTGTCCCTGCACTTGCCCGCGCTGCATCGCGCCTGCATGGCCAGGAACTCCCCGGTAGCTCTTCGCCCTGGGCCCCCCCTTCTTTCCTGCCGGGACCAGTCCGAGAGCCATGACCACGAAAAGAGCACGAGGAGCCACCCCATGCCTCCGGGGATCGGCTGACAGCCGTGAGTGGATCGATCAAACGCGCACGAACGTTGGTAGTCAGGCTCGAGCCAAGATAGGCTCGGACTCGCACAGGGCCACACAAGTCTGAATATCTGGCTCTCTCCTGTTGACGCAGTGGCGATGGGTTCCGAGCGCCTCCTTAGCATCTCCGCCGGATCCTGAGCCCCAGGCGAATGACCGAGCCGCTGACTGGGCTAGTTGCCTGTAGACCCCCTCGCACATGCACGCGATGAGGCCCGCGAAGGTCTTCGCCTTCACTGCGAGGCTCTCCTGGTGGCCGCGAGGTCCTTCTTCTCACCGACGGGGCCCCGCATGCGGCCATTCCTCGCGCCCTGGAGCTCGATGCCCCTAAGTCCTCGACACCTGTATACCCCAGTCAGGATGACGAAGATGATGATGAAGGAGATGATGCACTGACTCACAGCGCAATGCGAGCTAATTTCCCGAGCTCTGCTCCGCCCAAGACCAAAGACTTGGCAGTCAGGGGCGGGTGCCATCTCATGGCCTCTATAGGCGCCCTGCGCCTGCCTGCTACGGGCCCGATGACGTCGACCGCCCCATGGCCAGATCCGAGCTCAGTCCGTGGAATGTCCTCCTGGGGGGCCCCCGATCTCAAGGGATTCGCATGAGTTCTACAGAGATTCGCAAACACGTTGGCTGGCCCTCCTACTCCATGCGCGCTCCGAAGCGGACGCACTGACTCGGGCACTGCCACGTGCTGCATCCCGCGCCTGGCCAGCTCCTGAGACCCCCCGTTGAGCGCGATGCGACCGACGATGTCGCTCCCGGCGCCGGGGTCGACCAGCCCCTGGTTGGTGGCCGTCGCGAGGAAAACGGCGTCGGCCTCCTCTTGGATCTCCTGCAGGGCGATGAGCTGCTCGCTAGACGCCACCGGCGGGCACGGGCCAGCCGCGGTGCACCCCGCGAAGGTGCAGCCGGCTAGCCCCTTCTTCTTCTCGTCGGGCCTGCGCCTGCCTCCGTCCGCTGGAGGATTGGGACATCCTCGCGCCCAGAGCCCTTTTCTGTGGCACCTCTTGCAACGCGTCACTTTCATGAGCTGCTCTCGCGACAAATGCTCCCGCTTCTCAAGGCGCGCACGATCGCCGCCCCCGCGGCCTCGGCCCAGACGTCGACCGCCTCGCGCCCCCGAGCTCCACCTCGCCCCTCAGCGACGGCAGGACGATCCGATCGGAAATACGCTCGGTCGCGCTTGACCACTCTCTCAAAGCCTGCATTATGCTTCCACGATCTCTTTATCTGGTCTAGCTGGATGAAAACCTCTTAGGCCTCGTCCTCGCACAGCTCCACATCATCTCTCTGCCAAAATGGCCAAGACATCCTCCTCGGTCAGATCTTCACCATCCGACTCGCCCTCATCGGACCCTGCCTCGCCCTGCTGATCGTCGAGATTGGAATCCGAAGCATCGAAGGGCAGAGGAGGAGGAGGAGGAGGAGGAGGAGGAGGAGGGTGATCTGAGCTCCCGCCGGCGAGACCGACTTCTGCGGCCATCACCGGGCGGGACGTGGACTTGACATGCATCAGCGGCTCAGTGCTGCCGAAGTCCATCTGTCTCAAAGCCCAAGACACCTGTTTGTACTCGAAGCTGCCTTGGGTCAGCGTCCTCATGTTCTGCTGCCCATGGGCCGACAGGTCCGCTCCTTCCTCGAGCATCAGGCCCTTGGGCTCCTCGGAGAGCCAAAGGTCGTTGCCCTCGGCCCCCTGAAACTGTAGATCACGTCGAGCTACGGTCTGCGTCGGGGACGTCCTCGAACTTGGACTCCGTGACCCAACCAAACAGCTCGAGGAATTGATCCAACCTCCGCAGTCAGGCGCGTCCGTGTTGCGGTTCCAACGCTGCACTGATTTCTTCAACTGTCGATCGTATGTCCAGCCTGGCCAGGCCGGCGGCCCACTGAAATCTCCCCGAATCGCCGATGCTCGCCAGGTATTCCACCCATCAGAAACTCCACTCGTCCTGCAGGCCACCCGGGACGGCCGTCCGTGCTCCAGCCAGCGTCGCCTCGCCACTTGGCCTCGCTGCTGGACCAATCGACGTCCCAGCCCTTCTTGCCTCCGACTGGCCAGCTCTCGTCGTCCTGCCGTCTGACCTCGCTGCTGGCCCAGTCGGCCTGCCAAGGGTCGGAGCTGCTCCATGGGTCGACGCCCTTGGCGCCGTGCGTCTCGACACTGTTTCCGCTTGGTGCTGCGCTGGCGCCTGCAGTCCTCTGCCCGCTGATAGTGTCCCGCGCTATCTTCTTCACGACCTCCTGCACCTGGGCAAAAAGCTCCTCCCCCACGGGTTGAGCTGCTGGCGCCGCCCCACTCGGTGCCCCTGACGATGTCCCTTCGCCTGGGGTACTGCCGGAGCCCAGCACTGCGTATACCGCCTCGTCGTCTGCCGGCAGTCTGGCCTCTGCCGTGGATCCCACACTGTCCGTCTCGTAGAGCGGAACCAGCACAGCCGCTGGAGCGTCGAGCTGCTGCCGGCTCTCACCAGCTGCGGTCTCTGACACCCGCGCCGGCCATGGCTAGCCCCGTTCCGCTACCAACTGTGGCAGCAGCAAGATATCACAGATGCCTTTCAGCCTTGAGCCAAGCGGGTAACGGACCAAGTGTCCGTGACTCCTGAATCTTGTCTCTCACTAAACAGAACCAATAGCTAAACCTAAACCCGTGAGAGTGGAACACCATCACACAGGGGGGGCAGGGGGGGACGCGAGGGCCCGCGCCGATCGGCAAAACAAATCATGTGGCATGATGGCACATTCATCAGTCAACGCCTCCCCCTCCCCTCAGTGTTCAGAGTGGACGGTGGGCCTGTTAAGATGCACTTCGACCACAGTCTCCCCCCCGCGCGTGCCAACCTCGAGTCTGGGGGAGCGAGGGAGTGTCCAATACTTGTTTCCCCCTTCCGCATGTCAATCCCTATCCCGGGCTCCGTGGGGTTTCGAAAGGACTCGAAATTTTGAGCCCAACCCTGGGATATACGATGGGGGGGCGTCCCTACTCGATATGGGTGCGTCCGAATGGCCCCTTTTGGGGTAGATCCCCGGGTTTCCCCACCTTTCTGAGCGGTCAAACTTTCCGGGCGGGACTCGGGGGTCGGGGGAGAAGAATCGCCTGCGACGCCGCCCTGCGTCGGCCGCCCTCCCGAAGGCTCAGATGGAGCGAGCGGGACCTCCGTCGCCGAGGCCACCGCCAGCACGGCGGGCTCGTGTCGCGACGACTTCGGCGTCGGCTTCCGACACCGCGCGGCTCGTTCGCACTGGCACGATCGGGAGCGTCTCGATCGCCAGGCCGTTCCGTGCTGGCCGAGCCTGGGCCACCTGCGGCGTCCAACCTGGAACGTCCGCGCCAGGTTCGTCACCGCGGCTGCCGTGCTCATCCCCGTGCCGCGGCGGAGCATTTGGACGCCCGAAATGGGTACGGAAAGAATGGGTGCAATGCCCAACCACGAATGTTGTCCCAAGCCAGCAGCGGCCGCTGTTGGGCGGGCGGCCTCCTGTCTCGAATGGACACAGGGCGCGGCGGCGCGGACAGCGAGTCCTGTCCAAAATGAACAGGACCTGCTGTTGGGCATCGTACCCATTCTTTCCGTACCCATCTCGGGCGTCCAGAGAGCAGGTCTCCTGCGCGGTGTCTTGCCTTTGCCCACCCGCCCCCCCCCCTTAGAGAGCAGAAAACGACACCCTCACAAAAGGCACCCAGGCAGCAGGCAAGCACAGGCGTGGGGTAGATGCACCCAGGGCCCAGGGCCGTTCAGGGAACGCCAAAAACAATGGGATCGAGGTAGTTGTTCCTTTCCTGCCCCCCCCCCAGGAGGACGGAAAAACGCCCCCCGCCCGCGCAGGGAACGCGCCACGCCAGCGCTCCCGGGCCCCGCCTCACCCCACCCCTCCCCAAGACCAATCGCTCGACCAAGATCAGCGTTCCACGCTCCCCTCCATCCCCCCCTCCCTACCTCACTCCCTGCTGCCGTACCAGACCAACAGCATCCTGTCGACTACTCTGCAGAAAGGCATCCCGGCAGGCGCTTCCTGCCTGAACGATATACAGGGACAGCCACTCAGGAGGTATCCAGAGGATTCCCAAATCCGTTCCTCCCTCTTCCCTCGTGGTTCCCTACCTTTCTCCCTCTCCTTGCCTCCCTCCCTCAATTCCGTCCCTCTCCATACTTCGCTTCATCCATCGCTCTCTCACTCCTCTTCATCCCTCCGAAATCACCCCAACCTGGATTGCCCCTCGGGCTCCACGCTGCGCTCCACTACCACATTCCTTCATTATCATCCTCCTCTACCTCCTTTCTTCCCTCCTGTTCGCCACTCATGCTCAGTCTGTACAACTCCTAGGACCTCTTGCCTGTATGCTCACTCACCCATTATCGTCATACCGTGCGGCCGAAAGAAACAGTTAGAACAGCTAGCGGAAGGAAGATCGGGTTCAGCGTCCCGCCTGAAAGTCCAGCGTGAGCTTGGGGAAATACTTCTCCACGATCACGCGAGCCGCCTTCCCGATGGCGCTGTCTCCCCGATCCCTACATCCCCAGGTCTCCGACGTCATGCACTTTCCACAAAGTGGACCTCAAGAGGACTAAACCCCTTCCACAAGACCGACGTTTCATCCCGAATCGTTGTTCGACGGCCCCGGGGCCCGGCGAGGGACCCCAGAGGCCCAAAACTGCAACGACAACCCAAAGTACCGTGGCGAAGTGTGCCGCGACCAGGGGAGTGAGGAAGTCTGGGTATCTCTGTCCCCTGTTGAGGAAAACCGCGCTCTCCCCAACCCAAGCTGCAGCCGACCAGGGTCTTCGAGGGCCCCGACCCCATCATCCCTGTCGACCCCCCACAAGGAAACATCTGACGTGAACATGGTGCACACACCGAACACCATGCCAGAATCACTCAGGATCGAACGTGGAGAGGAGATCGGATCAACCTGAGGATCGGATCGGGCTGCATCGACAAAGAATCGAAATCGAATCGGACCGGCTGCGGCTAGTTAGGACGCAGCACAACAGAACCATGCAAGCATCGGGCCGCATCGGATCGCCAGACTCCGCCACCGCGCCGCGGGACCGAGTGAGCGTGCCCGTGCCCTCAGGTCCTGGACTCATTCCTCCAAGCCTCAACCCTCACTCCCGAGGAGTCACTGAAGAGCCTTGGCCCCTCGCTCTCAGATCTCACAGGGCTTCCCGCGTGCCCCCTGATGCCTGTCGCGCGCCCACTGGGCCCTGGCAAATGTTGTCGCGTGAACGCTCGGGTCCTAGGGGGCCCCAAGGCGAGCCAACGGGGCACCGAGCGGCCTCCAAGACGGTCCAACGGGGCCCCGAATCGCCGAGCGATCGCTCCAAGACGCTCAAGATGGCCCCCAGACGGCCCAAGAGGCCTTTGTTGTTTCAAAATCCACCACCGCGCCGCGAGGCGCGAAATGGAGACTCTCCAAGCTCTCATACTTCCTCTCTCCTCTGCATTAAAAACCCTGGGAATACACTACTCTAAATGCTGCGGCCCGAAATCTTCAAATGTCCCAGGCGTTCCCGCGCGCTCTCGCGCCGCCCCCCGTGACAGAGGGCCCCAAGACGGGCCAAGAGGGCCCCAGAAAGCGCCCAAGAGGCTCCCAAGAGGCTCCCAAAACGGCCCAAGAGGGCCCCAAGACGCCCAAGATGGCCCCAAGACGACCCAAGAGGCGCCACAGAAGCCCCAAAAAGTGCCCCCAAAGAACCCCAAAGCGGGCCCAAAGAGGCAAGAATAATTGATTTCCCTGATGTTCTCGATGTGTTTCGCGTTATCGCGTTTTCGGGTTTCCGACGTTCCGAAATGGATCTACAGGCCCCCAACACCGCCCCAAGACGGCCCAAGAGGCCCCCAGAGGGGCCCCGAAACGGCCCAAGAGCGCCCCAAGACGGCCCAACAGGCGCCCAAAACAGCCAAGACTGCCCCAAAAAGGAACCCAAAAGAGGGAACGCGAACCGAAAGTCCGAGCCTCGCGGAAGTTGAGCTCAGCGAGGAAGGCGCCAATCTCTTCGCGCACACCCTGGGGCCCTACCAACTTCGTAGCCACGACAATAACTTGGGACGGATCAGTCTCGCGATCGAAGCCAGGGGAGACGAATGTCTCCGCATGGAAAGCATTATCAAGTTCCACTTGCTTGCGGATGTCGGAGGTATTTCTTTTTGCATAGCAATGATCTGCCTCTCATGCTCACCCAGGGTATGCTCCGACTCCGAGACGCGCTTGGTGAGCGCGTCCTGCTGCATCTGGAATATTCCGGCGAGCTGGTCGAATTGTGGGCGAATCGCTGACGTGACTTTCTGGTCAATAACTTGGACATGCCCCGAAACCTGCTGACGCAGCACGTCCAAGGTCTTGGGGATCGGGTCGCTGGCGGCATGGAGGGACGAGGTGACCGCAGCTTTGACCATGTCATCGAAGTTGCCACGCAGGGAGGCGAAGCGGGCTTCAATGTCGGCGCGATAGTAGTGGATGTTGAAGTCGGGAGAGTCGCCCACGTCATCGTCGGCGTCGATGTGGTACACCTGAGGCTCAGGGCGCGCAGGGTGAACAGCACGAGCAGGGCCACCACCATGAGGAGGAAGCCGAGCCGCAGCTTGTGCCCACGGATCGGGCGGGGTACCTTCAGTTTCATTTGGGAGGGTGGGGAGGATGGCGTCCGCCAGCAGGATGCTGGCTTGCCGGCTGTCGGAGAGGGACTGGCCCCCAGCAGGCACCGCCGACCAGGGGGCAGGGGCGCCAGGGTCCATTCCCCGATGTGAAGCAGGAGCAGGCGGACGACGCTCAGTATCAGGACGTACATCCCAGCCGCCAGACCGCTGAGATCTTCCCGACCGTAGAGACCCCCCAGCTTCGGGGCGGAAGCGGCCGCGCCGATCTGCATCCACCGCACTGTTGTCGCTGCGAGGGATCGAGCGAGCAGGCGAGACGTTGCGGCTGCCATCAGACATCTGGGCTGGTTGACAGGCATTGGGGGCGAGGGACGTCGAGCGCAAGCGCCCTGGCACTGCCGCGGACTAGCGGTATCCGTTTGTCACCCTGGGGGAACATGCATATTGAGCCAAAATGGCTACGGAGGAGGAGAAGGAGGAGGACGAAGAGGAGGAGGAGGACGAAGAGGAGGAGGAGGAGGAGGAGGAGGAGGAGGAGGAGGAGGAGGAGGAGGAGGGAGGAGGAGGAGCAGGAGGAGGAGGAGGAGGACCTCAGGGCCGAGGGCAGCGGCCGCTCGGCGGCGGCCGGGGCCGCCTTTTTCACGGTCTTGGTGCGCACGCGTCCCATCGCTGCTGCGGGCACGGGCCGCTCCCCTCGGGCGGCCTCGCGGGAGGGGCGCCGGGGCCCAGGCAGGGCGCCGGCGGGGCCCCAGCCCGAAGGGAAGGCCTCCAGGGGTCCACAGCAAGGGCCATCCCCCACCCCACAAGACTTCAAAAACAAACAAGCAAACAAAACATCCTTCCCTTCCTGTCCCAATCCTTCCTTTCTTCCTTCCCACCTCCGTCCCTCCTTCCCTCCCTCCCTCCCTCCCTCCCTCCACCGCCACCACCATCTCCCGCCCTTCCCTGTCCACCCCTCCCTCCATCCGTCCCTTCTCCCCCTTCCCTCCCTGCAAGAAACGGAACCTCCCCTCCCCCCCTCCCGCTCCCTCTCTCGCTCCGTTGGAGCCGCGCCTGCCTCCCTCCCTCCAACCTCGGGGTGCTCGTTCGCCGCCCTCTCTAGGAGGGGTTCGATGGTGGGTAGTCTGGGCTCTTGGCCCCCCCTCCCCTGGATGAGGAGGAGCAGCAGCACCACCAGGAGCAGCAGGATCAGCAGCAGCAGTAGGAGGACGACGAGGGAGAGAGGGAGCAAGGAGAGACAAGGGGGGATCGAGCAGCCAGGAACGAGGGCGAGGAGGGTGGCGTGGGCTGCAGGGGGGTTTTGCAGGGGTCTCCGATTCGTCCGCGGGGTTTCAGGGCACCCCTCCCCGCGGCCGCCCGATTCCTGATTCCTGGCGCTGCGATATGGCACCCTTGAGCCGACGCGCGCGCGGAGCTGTGATGAGGCCAGGTCGAGGATCGTGAGAAGACGGGGGAATGAGGGGTACGACACAAGGTACCAACGCTTCTCATTCCACGAGCAGGCCGAGATCGCGTAAGTAGGACATGGCCTTCGGAAGAAATGCATGTCGGGATGCACGGGGCAAAAAACTGTTGCGCCTTGTGTTATTACTTGAGAAGCTGCTGGCCCGGCGGGAAAAAAAAACTGGCCAACGCGAACCACCACTGGCAGCGCGTATACCTTCTACGCCTGAACGGGCTAACGGACTGAACGAAACTCTGGCCAGGACGACGAACACCCTCGGGGGGACGAGGTAGAGGAGGTGGGCGAAGAGGAAGAACAGGCGGAGAAGAAGGACGAAGGAAAGGGGCAGGACCCCAAAGCTTCAACGCTCTCGCACCGCGATCCTCAGGCTACCCCTGGAACCTGCAGGCCGCGTGTCGCGCGTCACTGGACACTGAGATCGGGGGTCAAGGGGTCTTGGGTGAAGCTGCTTTAAATGTTGCAGAGGACTCCTTCCCGCTGGATTGACCTCAGCGGCGCGCTGAGAGGAGAGGGAGAGAGAGAGAGAGAGAAAGAAAGAGAGAGACAAAAAAAACACCACCAACACATGTACAACGGTCTCAATATCACGACAACAACAGCAACAATCAGTATAAGACTGTTCGCTCCTACTCGCCCGTGTGTCATTCAAAACGAATTATCAAAACCCTCGATAACCGCCCTTTTTGTCTTCGATCACACCCCCTTTGGGAAGATAATTTCTCTTTGCACGGGGCGGCGGGCTTAGACAGGCGGGCGAACCTGAACGGGCGGACAATCCTTCGTGGGCGTACATGTGCCCGCCATTGGAATTGGTGTGGGCCCTGCAAAAAGAGGAGGAGGAGAACGAGGGAGAGCGGGAGAAAGGGAGGGGGAGGGACGAAGGAAGAGGGAAAACGCCAGGACAGAAGCAGCGAAGAGGGGGGCGGCTGATCAGAGGCAGAGAGAGAGAGAACAAAAAAAAAAAAAGCAGAGAGAGAGAGAAAGGAAAAAAGAGAGAGAGAGAGGTAGAGAGGGAGAGAGGGGGGAGAGAGAGAGAGAGAGAGGAAAAAAAAAAACAAAAACAAAAAAAAAAAAAAAAAGGAGGAGGCAGGAGAGGGGAGGGAGAAGGGAGGAGGGAGAGGAGGTAGAGGGGACAGGGCAGAGAGGCATAAGGATGAAGGAAGAGAGGAGGGAGAGAGAAGGGAGGAGAGGAGGGACGAGGGAGGAGGGAGAGGGAGGAGGAGCAGGAAAGAAAGCGTGAACGTTCGAGGAAATCCTAAGCGAAAGCGCCGTTCCTGAAGGAACTCTCGGGCGGGAGCCCACGACAGGCGGGCGATCCCATGACGGGCGGGTCGGGCGGGTGGGACATTCAAGCGGGATGCCTGAGTATGGCGAGAGCGCGATTCCTAAGTAAATTGTGACGGCGTCCGTGGCGCAGCGTGTTTTCTGACCGTCGAAAGCGCGATTTCTAAATAAATTGTATGGAAGTCACAGGCGAGAGCGCAATTCCGGAATAAAATGTGAAGGGTTCTCTGGCGGGAGCGGGGGCCTTGATTAAATTGTACAAAGAAATCTTGACTCAATTGCGAGGAAGTCTCAAGCGGGAGCGCCGTTCCTGAGTCACTTGTGAGGAAGTCTCAGATGGGAGCGGGGGTCCTAACTAAATTGCAAGGAAATCACAAGCGGGAGCACCGATCCTAAGCTAATTGTCAAGAATTCTCCAGCGGGAGCGGGGGTCCTCAGTAACTTTGAAGGAATTCTCAAGCGGAAGCCGTTGTTTTTGCAATCCCGGGGGCCAGGGGCACAATTTGAGCATCAAGACCTTCCCTGTGAAAAAAAGGATGCGAGCGTCGAGGGGCACACTTTGATTTAGAAAAAACAGTATGCACCGGTGAGGGTGGATCCAAAATAATAGATTCTTCAGGAATGAATATTCAACAATCATAATAATGGCAGCAACAGCAACAGCAGCAACAACAACATCAACAACAACCTCCAAAATCAGAATCAAAACAACAGCAACAACAATCATAACAACAACATCAGCAACAGCAACAACAACACCACCAAGAACAGCAACAAACTAGTACGAATACTACTCCGACTACGACTACGACTACGACTACTACTACTACTACTACTACTACTACTACTACTACTACTACTACTGCTACTGCTACTGCTACTGCTACTGCTACTACTACTGCTACTGCTACTGCTACTGCTACTGCTACTGCTACTACTACTACTACTACTACTACTACTACTACTACTACTACTACTACTACTACTACTACTACTACTACTACGACTACTACGACTACTACTGCTACTACTACTCCTACTACTACTACTACTACTACTACTACTACTACTACTACTACTACTACTACTACGGCTACTACATCGACAATATCAACAACAGCAGCAGCAGCAACAACAACGACAGCATTCACAACAACGACAACAACACAAACAACAACGACAACAACAACGACAACGATAACGACAATAACAACGACAACAACAACACCGACATCAACAACGACGACGACGACGACAAGGCAACTACAACAACCAAAACATCAACAACCGCAACAACAATCTCAAAAACAACAAAGCGAGGCCGGGCTTCTTGTACCCACGGGGGCTGCTGGCGAGGACGGGTGTCTGGAGCCCTGGTCCCCAATTTCGAAGGCGCGGGGGGGGTCGCACCCGCAACCGCGCAGCAAGCACTTCCACAAGCTCGCGAAAATGAACCAATAAGAATTTCAAATTCGAGTTCCCACTTGAATTCTCACAGAACACGCATGCGCGCGCCAGCGAAGCAAGCTCCTACAGCAAACATGTCCGAATGCTACTCGAGCCGCGCGCAACTGTAATGGAATCCTACTAGAAATGCGCGCAACTCATATATAAACCGGCTCAAGCCGCGTGCAGCTCTAATAAAATATTTCTAAAATTGCGTGCAGCTCTGATAAAATCCTACTAGACCTGCGTGCAGCTCTGAAAGAATCCTACTAGCGTTGCGTGCCGCTCTCACAAAATCCTACAAGAGCCGCGCGCAGCTCTAATATAATCATACTAGAGCTGCGTGCAGCTCTAATAAAACCCTAACAGAGTTGCGTGCAGCTCTAATAGAATCCTATTCGAGCTGCGTGCAGCTCTACTAGAATCCTACCAGAGCTGCGTGCACCTCCAACAGAATCCGAGTATAGTTGCGTGAAGTTCTGATAATCCTATTCGAGATGCGTGCAGTCCCAATAATCCTGCTCGAGCTGCGTGCAGCTCTAATATAGTCCTACTAGAGCTGCGTGCAGCTTAATAGAACCCTACTGGAACTGCGCGCAGCCCTAATAGAAACCTACTGGAGCTGCGCGCAGCCCTACTACAATCCTACTGGAGTTGCGGGCACTTCTCATAGAATCCTACTAGAGCTGCGTGCAGTTCTGATAAAGTCCTACTAGAGCAGCGTGCAGCTCTAATGAAATCCTACTAGAGCTGAGTGCAGCTCTGACACAAACCTACTAGAGCTGCGCGCAGCTCTAATAGAATCCTACTCGAGCTGCGTGCAGCTCTAATAAAATCAGATCCGAGCTGCGTGCAGCTCTAATAGGTTCCTACTGAAGCTGCGTCCAGCTCTACCATAATCCTACTCGAGCTGCGCGCAGCTCAAATAGAATCATATCCGAGCTGCGCGCAGCTCTACTAGAATCCTAGTAGAGCCGTGTGCAGCTCAAATGGAATCCTAGTAGATCTGCGTGCAGCTCTACCAGAATCCTACCAGTGTTGCGTGTAACGCTAATAGAATCCTAATAGAGCGGCGTCAAGCTATAATGGAATCCGACTAGAGCGGCGCCATCATCACCATCATCACCAACATCCTCCTCATCAACATCATCAACAGCATCATCACCATCAGCAAAAGTCCGCAACTTCATCATCAACATCAACATCATCACCACGATCACCAACAAAGTCATCATCAACATCATCATACACATCGTCATCGTCATCAGAATCAGCGTCATCCCCATCGTCATCATCATCGCCATCATCATCGTCATCGTCACCATCATCATCACCATCGTCATCGTCGTCGGCCTCGACATCGTCATCGTCATCGACATCGCCATCGTCATCAGCATCGCCATCGTCATCGTCATTGTCATCAGCATCGCCATCAGCATCGTCATCGCCATCATCATCATCATCGCCATCAATATCGCCATCGCCATCGTCACCGTCACCGCCATCATCATCATGACCCTCGCCTCCAAGATGGCCCCAAGCGCGCTCCCAAGGTTCCCGAGCACGCATCAGGAGGGCCCAGGAGGCGCCCAGGAAGCCCCAATAGGTGCCCAAGAGGCTTCCAAGAGGCTGCCAAGAAGCCCCCAGGAGGCACCAAGAGGCCCCCCGAAACGCTCCAAGGGGCCCCATGGGAGCGCCAAGAGGTTCCCAAGACGCAAGAGAGGCCCAACAGAGCCCCACGACGGCCCCAAGACCGCCCAAAAGCGTCCCAAGAGCGATCCAAAAGGGACTCTTCATCTGCGTGCTGTCCACTTACTTCCCTGATCGAAGCAAATCCTCTGGGCATGATTTCTGAATGGGCTGGTGGGGTTACTTTTTTGGGGCACACGGGCGCGCGAAGCAAACCGAACGCCGAGCGCGCTAGGGCGGGCCGCGCCGCGGCCAAAAAAAAACAAGTAAGTAAGCTGGTTGGGGTATTTTTTGTTCGCGAGCACCAACGGAAGGGCCGCGCGCGCCCAAAGCCACCGCTAACAAGCAGGAGCTAAATTGCACCAGGAGCAAGAGAGAAAGAGAGAGAGAGAGAGAGAACAAGAGAGCAGCGGGAGGAGAGACTAGCCGGGGCGGGCCGCGCGGCGCTCACGGAGGGGGTGCCATCGGCAGCGAACAACCGCCGGGGAGCGCACGCCAAAGTGGCGGGTAATTAGCTGGCAGCGTGGCGCCCCGCGGTGACAGCGGCGCGGGGCAACCCCGCAGGAGATAGTGGAAGCCGCAAGCGCCTGCGCCTGTCCAAGGGGCAGCGCGCGGGGGGCAGAGCGCGGCAAGGGCTGCGCATCCCTGCAAGGTGAGGAAGCCGTCTGCGCGTCGGGCGCAGCCACCGTGGGTGGCGGCGGAACGAGCGAGTGGCGACGACCGAACAGCAGATCGCGCCGCGGG